TATGTAGATGATATTTGTGTATATTCCTTACAATAAGATCTGCATCTTATCTATATATATGTATGTATATTGTATATCTTTTTCTGATCCCCCTTTGACCTGTTTGTACCTCTAGTTACTCCGATCACAGCCCATTCATCTTGTGTGCCAAAAGTTATTAAAGATTTTCTTATTGATGAAGTCGCCATTAATCAATCGCAACAAAATGGCGCTGGAAATGACATCATGTGCGATACAAAAGACGAAAGACACGGCCCCCATGTAACACACAGACTTAACAAGGTGAGGCTCCTGCGACTGGGCAGGTATTAAGAACAAATGCAGAAGCAGTTGCTAGAAGAACGACTAGACAAATACCCTGTATTTGGAAATATCTGGGAATATCTTTAGATAGTAGTAGCTGCGAAATGGGGTATAGATATGGGCGTATATAGAAGAGGAAGAATATAGAAAACTGCGTGTATGTACTATGCTAGAGTATAGATAGGGTAGGCAGCATTGGAGAGAAAGTCGGTGAGAAAGTGGAGTATGAAAGAGTATAGCCCATCTTTATGGGCTATAGGCTCAGCTCTATACGCCAAATATATACTTAGTATCTGTACAGTGCAGCTTATAAAGTTTAAAGTATAAAATATGATATATTTAATATATATATATATATTTGATATATATCTATACGAGAAAGTAAAGATAATACTCTTGCAGACATTTCTTTGCCTTATCCGATAAAACAGTTCAATCCAATATTTTCTATAGAGACTAGGTCGCATAGAGGAGGTCATGGGATCTCAAAGGAGTAACAAAAAAATATATACGTAAGTAAAAAACTTTTTAGAAATTCTCAATGAACTTGACGCACTATTGTGAAACCTAAACACCCTGCACAAACTGTTCTGCAGGGTATACAAATGATATCCGTTAATACTTGAACCCAGCGGTCAGCTGCGTCTTGCGTGCAACAAAAAGCAGCAACAGCAACAACAACAACAACAACAACAACAACAAGAGAAAAACTGAACAGTTTTAGACAAGTCGCCAAACAAATGCATGAAAATTAAAACGAAACAAATAAATGAAAAACTAAACAAAAAAACAACAACAAGTGTGCGCACATGCACAGATACAGATACAGATACAGATACAGATACATTTATATGTATGTATATATGTGTGTGTGTATTTATATATATATATATATACAACAATTGCCAATCCACCAATCAACAAAATTGCAAAGTGCATTTAGCAGTGGCAACGTTTTGCACTTGAGGCAAGTGGCAGGCGGGGCAGGGCGTTCGGCAATGGGAGGGGGGTAGGTAGGGGGGGGGGGAGGGGGCTAGGCGCTTTGACGGCGGTGACGGTGGTGACAGTGACGTGCTCGGCCCGGTTCGCTGGCTGGCAATGGACAAATGAACGCCCCTGACATCGTTAGTTGTTGTTGCAGTTGTTGTTGTTGTTGTTGTTGCAGTTGTTGTTGTTGTTGCAGTTGTTGTTGTTGTTGCAGTTGTTGTTGTTGTTGCAGTTGTTTGTTTCAGCTGCTTTAGTTGTAATGTTAATTGTCGTTTGGCGATTCGCTGGCCGGCCGGGGCACACGCAGAAATCCTGATTTGGCCATAACAACGCACATTTGAAAAGCCGCGACACGATTTGAAATTCAAATTTGTTGCCAAAGCGCAGCCAAGAAAAATGCGTGCAACGAATTGTTGTTGTTGCAGTTGCAGTTGTTGTTGTTGTTGTTGTTGTTGTTGTTGTTGTAGCCATGAGCCATGGCTAAAAGCACTTATGCACTGGCTACCAGCACAGTAAAATGTCAGTTAACTAATCAAAAAGCCGCACTCAACGAGGGTTGGACAACAAATGGGATATAAATATGAAAATTTGTTAAGAAATTATTAATTTATCAAACATTTGCCAGGCGGGCGAATAAATAATGAGGCGCAAATGTTATTAAACATTTTTGTGTTCTGATTAGACTTTTAGCTGTTCATTTTTCTATCAAGCATTTAATACTCAAAACCTTTGTCGAACATTAATAATTAATTAACAATCAATAAAAAAAATAATTAACTTTAATAGACAAATCCAGTCGAACCACGAAGTTCAGATAATACAAATTAACTTGCATATAACTTTATATATTTATTAATAATGATTGTTAATCATGATTTATGTTAATTATTTATAATAATCAATAATTTAAATAAAGCAATTATCATTTTTATATTTAATATTTGGGCATTTTATTTATTTATTATTTTTGCATCTATTTATATAAAATTATTGAAAATATTTATTATTTTTTTGATTACTTTTTGTTTATAATTATTTTATTTTTAAACAATTTTTTATTATTAATTATTTAAGAATTTAAATAATTATTGAAAATAATTATTATTTTTAATTTTTATTTTTTTGTTTACTTTTTGTTAATAATTTTTTAAATGAATTAATTGTTTATTATTAATTATTTAGGAATTGTAATGAATTATTGAAAATAATTATTCTTTGATTATTTATATTAATTCTTTTTGATTAATTGAGCAAATTTCTTTCAATACATAATAATAAAAATTACTTTTTATATTTTAGAAGAAACAAATAGAATTGTTTTCCCTGAATTTCACAAGGAATTTTTCATTTCTGCATTTGACGGAAAATTTGTAAATTCGTATCGCAATTTTAAAGTTCAAAAGTGAATTAAAAATAAAAAATTGAGCAAAAATAATTAAATATATAATAATATAAATAATAAAAAATAAAATAAAAAACAAAAATTGGCCAAAGTTTGAAGAGAAAAAATGTTATTAAAATTCTTTACGTAAGAAAATCTGCGACAGGTAACTTTTTTGTCACTTCCATTTTTTTTAAATATATCCATTGAATTAATAATTTTTTTATTTTTAAATATTGCTGGAAGAACGTAAAATTGTGCGCAACAGCAACGAAACAGAAACGTTTTAATTTATGTGCGAGCAGGACCATAAAAAACAGACGCCTTAATAAAAAGTGTCACAAGAAAAGAAATGAAAAGAAAAGCCACACACCTGATCTGTAAAGAATTGCAATGGCTTTTGGCAAGTTGGAAAATTGTTAGCTTGGGCAACTTGTGAGAGAGTGCAGCCCTGAAGTGAGCGGAACGCAGAAACTAACGCACTTTTCAAAATTGAGACTGCGGCTGTGTCGCCGTGTGTGGAACCCCTTGACATTAATAACGTGGCCAAGACGCAGTCAAAAGCTGCAAAAGCTGACGGTGGAAGGGGGAAGGGGGCAGGGGGCTGGCTGGGCAGGGTGGCCGCAATAGAACCTTGGACCCGCAAAGCGAACAATCTTTTGCAGCCGCCGTCGTTAGCCGTTTACAATGTCAACGGCTTGCTGAGAGAAGCGGAGAGAGAGAAGCGGAGAGAAGAGCGGAGAGAGAGAAGCATCGAGAAGCGACGACGGCGACTGTGATTGGGCCAAAGAAGCAGAAAAGGTGGCCACTCGTCAAAGCGTATCCTTGAAATGTGCAAATTAAAGTTCAATGCTTGAGCGGCGCTTGAACCCGCAGCAGGACAGGACACGACCCAGCCGCGGGCAGCAAAAGTCGTCTAGCGTCTGTCAGCCAACCAAAAAAGCAGCCCAAAACCCGTACGCCACCCACGCGGCCACCCACTCGGCCGCCCAGTCTGCCGCCCCGCCCCGCCCCGCCTAGTCGAGCAGAATGCTGATTGCGCCCATTTTGATGTCTGTTTCGGGTTTTTTTCTTCTCTCTTGTTGTTGTTGTTGTTTGCCTTTTCTACGGCTCGCACGAAAATTTCAAGTTCAAGGTTGCCGGAAAGCAGCCGTTGCCACGCCCCGCCCCGCGCCGCGCCGCGCCGCCCACAAGCAGAGCCCAGGCCATAAAAGTCGTCGCCAACTTTGCCTTTGTCTGCTTTGGGCCCAGGCACGCACACGAAATGCTCGCCCCCTGCCAGCCGCCATTTTGTTACGCGCTCTCTCTCTCCCGCTCTCGCTCTCCCTTCGTGTGTGTGTGTGTGTGTGTGCACACAGGCGCGCTTCCTACGGCCGCAGTGGCAATATCCTTTTGACCTTGAGCACACAATTTCCACACGCAAAATTTATTGACCTGCCGCTATGCGCCATCTCGCCTGCTCTCTCTCTCTCTCTCTCCCACTGGCTCTCCCGTCTGTCTGTCTCTGTCTGGCGCGTGTAAAGGAAACATAAAAAACCCGAAAATATAACAACAAATGCAAAGGCGACGCGTCGCACAGCCGCTGCCCGCGCCCAGCCCCGCTGAGCCCCGTCTGGCTGGGGTCCCTTTTTAGAAAAGGAAGTAGGTGCCCGCAGAGTCAACCTTGGCGACAATGGGCGTGCCGGGGCGGGGCGGGGCGGGGCGGCTGTTGCCTCTGTGTGTGCCTCCGCCGTGTATGTGTGTGTGTGTGTGTGACAGTAAATATCTGCGAGGCAGACGTCGTTCAAACTTGCTGCATTAATTATTATTTGTTTTTCACAAGCTGGGCATATTAAATTAAATCGAGAAATTAAATAAAAAACACTTTTTAAACTGTATCATTCTATACGTAACGTAAACGGTAAGCGCCAAGTTTCCCGCTCGTTACGATAAACCCCATACGGTATGCTATACGCTTAGCAAAGTTTAGCTCCCACTGCGTCACGCCTAGCACGTACAACAACCGCTAGGCTAAACTTGGTTTAGCTCAGACACACACACACAATACAAGCAGCTGCATCTAGCAAGAACAACCGCTGCGTAAATTGACTTAGCTAAGACACACACATACAAATACAAACAATTGGCACAGTTGCCATCAAACTTTTAAGCACAACGCTTTAGCCGCCGCCAACTTCAAGCGTGCCACAGCTACGCGCAGCCAACATCACGTGACTGAGCCGCAAGTGCAGCCAACTTCACGTGTGCTCAATTGGCGCGCAATTGAATTTCAAATAACTTCAGATCAAATATAATGATACAAATAAAGTGAATAAATAAAATGACTTACCATCTAGTTTATCCAGCCGCTTGTCAATATTCAAGCACTTCGACATTAACTTTTCCACCAGCAACGGATTCGCCGAGGCGCTGGTCACAGTCACAAAGCGCGACTCCTCCGGCGTACACTCGCCGTTTCCGTTCCCATTCCCGTTGCTGTTGTTGTTGTTATTGTTGAGCAGATCGCAGGGCAGCAGAAAACCTAAACGAAAGTTAAGAAAATATTAATTTGCATAGATTTATTTGTTCTGCATTTGCCAAAGCTCACCATTCCGCTTGGCCGCCGTTGCCGTTGCCGAGCTGGAGCCAAAGGCAAGCAGCGCCTGACCATGCCCATTGCCGGAGCCGCTATCCGCCAGGCTGGCGCCCACCGAGTCCACCAAGCCCTGCACGCTCAGCTGGACATTATCCTTCGCCAGGAGATCGTCGCCGGCGACAACGGCGGCTGCGACGCTCGCGAAATCGTTGTCGCTGATGACGACGTTGTTGTTGTTGTTGTTGTTCTCCTCCTAGGAAATAGATAGCATAGAAGAAGGCAGAAAAAGAACAGCAGAGAATTGTGTTGTTGTTGTTGTTTTTGGGGAAGAAAAGAGCAAAAGGAAATAAAAAACATAAATGGTAAAATGCTTCAATGCGAGTTTCGGTAAATAAGAGATAAAAGCAATAAGGTCCTGCGCAAGAAATTCAAGTGTGTTTGTGTGTGATTATGTGTGTGTGAGTGCGTGCGTGTGTGCGTGTGTGTGTGTGTGTGTGTGTATATGTGTGTAGTTCAACTTGTCTGTGTGCTTGGCGGATGTACATTTTCGACTTTGACCTCAACGGTCGCCAAATCGGACAGCAGGCTCTCGATCTCAAAGTTGCTCTCGGAGAGCGTCCGAAACAGCTCGTCGGAGGAGTCGCTGCCACAAAGCGGCTCCACCACCACATTCACATTCCGCGCCGCCGACCCGCACAAGTCCGCCGACTGCTGCTGCTGCTGTTGTTGCTGATGTTGTAGTTGTTGTTGTAGTTGTTGTTGGTGCTGCTGCTGCTGATGCTGCTGTTGTTGTAGTTGCTGCTGTTGCAGTTGCTGCTGCTGCTGCTGTTGCAATGTGTTGTTAGCGCCAACTGTGGGATTTATATTCTCAGCGTTCACCGTGGAATCATCCTGCAGCCAGAGGGAGGAGGGGAAAGAGAAGGAGAGACAGAGAGAGGGAGAGGGAGGGAAAGAAAGAGAGAGAGAGAGAGATTTTATTATTCCTTGTTATTTGTATGAAACAGTGTTGCCAACTACAGTAAAAGTTGCTGTATTCAATGTGAAAAATATCTAAATTAGTTATCTAATCAGAAATAGCCAAAAATCTCAACTATTTCCTTGATATTTGCCTAGAACAGTGTTGCAAACTACAAAAAAGTTGCTGAATTAGCCTTCTAATCAGATATTTGTTAAGCATAGTGTTGCCAACCATAGAAAAAGTTGCTGAATTTAATCAAAAAGTAGCTAAATTATCTTTCTTATCTTACTTTTACTAAAATAATGAGCTAAACTTGTTTACAATTACAACTAATTCCTTGATATTTGCCTAGGACAGTGTTGGAAACTACAAAAAAGTTGCTGAATTTAATGTCAAAACTAGCTGAATTGGCTTTCTAATCAGAAATAGCCGGAAAAAATCACATTCAGCTAGATATTTTAGCTATATCCTTGATATTTGCTTAGAACAGTGTTGTAAATTACAATAAAATTTGCTGAATTCAATGTAAAACTAGCTGAATTAGCTTTATGATGAGAAATACCCAAAAAAAAAAGGCTAAACCAGCTTTAACTCTAGCCAAATGTAGCTTTAAAATTGGGTGAGTTGTCAGCATTGGGACGCACCGTTATGCAGGTTGCCAAATCTAGACCGCCAACAAGACGACCATCGTTATCCGGACACCAGAGCAGTGCGTCATCGATAAAGGGCATCGCTGATAGGGCAAAGCCTGCACTGCAAATACCGTTAACTGCCAGCGTAAAGCCGTTTCCTGTTGCCCGCTTCACTTGAAAATGTCCTTTAACCCGTCGGTTAACTTCTCTCTCTCTCCTTCTCTCTTCCTCTTTCTCTCCTTCTCTCTTTCTCCACTTGGTTTGTATTTGTTGTAAACTTGTTCTTATCACACGTTATCTAATTATTCACTTTTTATTTGTTTCTTTCACGAATTTTCTTTTATACAAATTGTTAGGCACTTTCTTTAAGACGGTTTTGGTTTGGTTTCCGTTTTTTTATTTTGTTTTTTTTTTTTGTATTTAATTTCTTGTAGTCTTTTGTTTGTTTTGGACGTTTTTTTTTTGTTGTGGAACACCAAAAAAATGTATTAAAAAATAAGAACACTCCAAAATTCGATTATGTACTATGTGTATATCGTATATACTATGTTTATCAGTTATTTATATTATTATTGTTATTTTGGCTTAAATTTGTTAAGTTTTTCTTCTTTTTTTTCTTTTTTTTTTTGGATTTTTTCGTAGCAACTGTTAAGCGCTAAGAGTCTGAAATGAAAAGAAAACATAGTTTAATATTATTCAATTTTAATGAATGCTTATTTTTTGTTAAAAAATTTAGTTAGAAAATGGACGCAAGTGCCTTTGTATGTGACAGACAGTAAGATTCTCTAGGAGATGGACTAGGAGGGGCTTTACTTAGAGCATTTCCTATAACATATATCTATCATTATCTAGTCTATCTATATATACATATATAATCTATATATAGAGAGAGACTCCATGCTGAGTCCTTCTAAGACTTCAAATACGATTTATAAATATTTTCATTAGACATTACTTGTCTATATTTCCTATTATTTGAATAACATCGATAAATATCGATTTTGAGACATGTTTTTTTTTAAATATTGAGGCTACATTCATCTAGAGCCTGAGCCATAAATTAAGTCATAAGTTTATCGACCTTATAAGAATCTTCCTTCGATCTTCGATCTTTTGTTCCAATGGCAGCTATATGATAAGATTTGTCTGATATGTAGAGCGTATTATCAAGCTAATCAATGTTGGGTTTGTTCAGAGATATCGTGATAAACAAGAAAGCCTTCCATACATATCCTATATCATACGCAGCCGGCGCTCCACATGATTTGTCTATAACTCTCTTATAATTCTCTCTCTTCTCTTTGCTCGAGAACTATAAGAGCTAGACATATCAAGTTTTGTATCTAGCAACTCGTATAGTCTATTCAGTTCAAGAATATATCACTTTTAAGCTAACTAAGCCGAATGCACCGGAAAAATGGAAAACAAGCTCATCTTAAAGCTAGAGCCTTGAGCTTTGGTATGCATACGAATTTATGTGTTATATTTATGCACTAAAAATATTATTAAGATCGGACCAAAGGCAGCCGAGTTAATCAAAGATGCATTTGCCAAGCAAAGTGTGGAACTAAGGAAGGAAGCAGAAAGTACATTCACAGAAAAGAAAGCTGGAATTCTAACAGCAACGGGGCGCGGGGTTAGGGCTAACTTCTAGACTAAGCTGGGCATTCCTTTTTTTTCAGATAACATTCAAAGCTCTCAACTCTGAAGATAATTAGCCCAAGCTGCTTTTCCGCGTCAATTAATGGCAATTATTGAAGTCGAAACCTGCAAGTGGCAGGCTTTTGGCTTTTGGCTCAGCTTCAGCTGTGGATGAGCTAAAAAGTTGATGGAAAGTCGTCGCATTTTATTTGTTGATATTTCTGATGGTATTTTTCTTTTTTCTTTTAACATTTTGTTTAGCTTCCGGTTAGGCTTTTGTATCAAAGTTAATTTCGTTTAAAGTTCAATAACATTTCAAATTGCGAATTACGAATGAAGACACGACAACAACAACAAAAGCCCTGCGAAATTATAGCAAGGGGAGGGGGGGTGGCAATGTGCAACAGCTGCAAAGAAAAGCGCTAAAAAGAAAAACAAAGAGTTGCAACAAATTTGTGCAAAAAAAAAAAACAAAACAAGCCGCAAAAAACAACTTTGGCAAAAATGCTTTTTACATAACATGTTATTGAACTGCAGGCAAAGCAACAAACTTGTTGTTGTTGTTGTTGCTGTTGCAGTTGTTGCTGCTTTTCGCTCTCTCTAAGCTGCCAAAACCAATGCAAGTGAAAGTCTAACAACAACAACAACAACAACAACAACAGCAACAACAACAGCTGCAAGCCTGGCAAAAAGTTCGTTAACATTGAACTATGAAACGATTGCTGCAAGCTTCAAAGCGCAGCAGCAGCAACAACAACAACAGCAGCAGCAGCAGCAGCGAGAGTGAGAGCGAGAGAGTGCAGAGTGGAGAGTGGAGAGCGAGAGAGAGAGCGTCCATTGCACAGCAACAACAACAGTAATTGACATTACAGCATTGCGCTGCCTGGCACTGTTATTGCTGCTGTTGTTGTTGCTGTTGCTGCTGACTGCGCTGCACGCGTCGCTGCTGGCTGCGCCTGCGCTGGTTTTTCCATTGCATGCCAGTTTGCAATTGCTGTGGCTGCTGCGCTTGTTGTTGTTGTTGTTGTTGTTGTTGTTGTTGTTGTTGTTGTTTGGTGATGCGCAAGCGGCGCGGAAAACTCGTTTTCCATTATTCAATACAAGCAACAACAGCAGCAGCGGCAGCAGCAGCGGCAGCTGGCGCAGCGGCTATTCACTTTTCTGCTGCAAGTTCACAGAAGAAAACTTGAAAGAAAAGCGAACGAGAAGAACAACAACAAGCGCGCACAAGGCTTTCGTTTGCATTGAAAATTGTTGTTGCTGTTGTTGTTGTTGCTGTTGCTGTTGTTGCTGCCTGGCGCCAATCTTCTGCTGCTGTCGTCTAATGCACATTGATTACAAGATGTCGACGCTTATGCAAAATATTGGCTTCGCTTTTGCCTTCGCCTTCGCCTTCGCCTTTGCCGTCGCCTTGCCTCTAATAACAGTGCCACGTTGCGTATACACAATTTTTGATTAGACAGCAGCAGAGAGAACTGCATTCGCTTGGCCCAAACCAGAGCACATTTTGCTTAGCGCTTCGAGGCACTTCCTGGTGCTGCTCCACGTAATATTCTCCAAATGGGCGCGGCTACATGTGGGTGAAGGGGAAGAGGGGGAGGGGTGGCACCTTTGTCAATTAGAAAGACAAAAGAGCTCAAAAGCAAGTAAAAGTGCTCGAAATGGAGGCAGTGTGATCCGCTTCCAAATAGAATTATATTATAACGAATTTAATGTACATATCCATAAAGATATTGCTTGACATGTTCCTCAATTTTCGATAGTCGATGTTTATCCCAAACCAAGCCAACTGGAGACTGAAACTTGAGCTAGACGAAGAGAAAAGCACAAGGAATTCTTTTTTTTATCAAATTTTGGAAAATTCTAATTTTTTTAAAAAGTTTTGCCAAAGTTATGGAAGCTTCAGTTATAAAAGGCTTCAGGCTAGTTGGGAAATTGGGGAAATTTAAATAGGCTTCGTTATAAAAGGCTTCAGGCTAGTTGGGAAATTTGGGGAAATTTAAATAGGCTTCGTTATAAAAGGCTTCAGGCTAGTTGGGAAATTGGGGAAATTTATATAGGAATATTGGGACATTTTGAACAAGTCGAAGCTGTGATGAGCTGTAAGCAGCTTGGGATATTTTTTAAAAAGGAATTTTTTTTGTTCGAAATTTAAATAAAATTTTAAAAATTTCAAGAAAATAAGCGAAAAAAGGTTTTTTAAGCAAAAAATACGAATGAAATAATATTTAAAAAATGCATAAATTGAATATGCAGAATTTCATTTAAGAAAAGGCGAAAAAAAGGGAAATATCTCAGGGAAATCTATTAAGTTGTGAAAGTTTTCAAAATAGTTAATTAATAATAAACTTAACTCACCTCAGATATATATATTATATCTTTATATATATATATATTTATATATCCTATCCAGAACGTGTTGTAAATATCGTGGCACGTTTCTATCCACTTGCCACTCATATATCTATATATATGTTTGTATATATATGTTGTACATATGTATGTATGTAAAGTTGCGCTAGATACTAATTTGTATAAACTAGAAGGCAGTGTAAAGTTGTCCAAAAATGTTTGATTGTTAATTTGCGTAGCTTGTTGAAGTTGTTGTTGTTGTTAGTTTGAATTTGCGGCACGCGCGTGTTGCACTTGTTGCAATTGTTGCAATTGTTGCTGTTGTTGCCTCGAGCGCGCTGTAGAAGAAGAAGAGGGAGCAGGGAGCAGGAAGCGTTGCTGCTTTTGCTGCTTTGGCTGCTTTTGCTGCTGTTTTATTTTACAACGTATGCTATAGATGTACAAATATAAAGTTTTATTGTCATTAGCAACATGGCTGACATTGACCAAATTTGCATGTGTTCCCAGTTTTCCGCTTGGGGCACGCATTTATGGTGTTTGCACGAGCTGTGTGGCATTTAGGCGGGCCACGGGCCTTCCCCACTCTCTCCCGCTCTCACTCTCTCACTCTCCCTCTCTCTGTCTCTCTCTATCTGTGATTGCTGTGCGGCGGCCTCTGCAACAAAGGAAAAAACAAAGAATTGTTAAAGAAATTGATAATCAGTTAATAGTTATGTTTAAAACTTGTATATAGCTGCATATTTTATAGAATTAAGTTATGCGAATCTCACAAAAGCGAGGCATTGCGAACAGGTTGAGCAAAACTCGTGACAAGCATATATCTGATGTACACAGTAAAAAATATATATTATGTATGTGCGCACATGTGTGCTTTACTTGAGCCAGGGATATTCCACTCAAACAGCGAAAGGAACCGATTTAGCATATATCCCAATCAGACAACATATCTATTTAAAAGGTACAATTTCCCACATGCGCAAGAGGGATATTGAGGGAAATAAATGTGCGCACATGTGTGCTTTACTTGAGCCAGGGATATTCCGCTCAAACAGCGAAAGGAACCGATTTCAAGCTACAATTTAGCATATATCCCAATCAGACAACATATCTATTTAAAAGGTACAATTTCCCACATACGCAAGAGGGATATTGACGGAAATAAATGTGCTCATATGTGTGCTTTACTTGAACCAGGGATATTCCACTCATACGGCGAAAGGAACATTTTCGTGAGTCACAATTTCCCTTATGGGCAATTTAACACATAATTCTGTCATACTGCAAAAGGAAGATTGTGATGTACACATGCTTTACTTGAGCTCGGGATATTCCACTTAAGCAGTGAAAGGGTACAATAAGGTACAATTTCCAATATGCACAATTTCATATATATTCTCCATTCAAGTAGAAGATTTGAATCTCCTATATGCACATATATTTCACTCATACAGAAAAAGGGACATTTTCCCAATATACAATTTCCCATTTGCACAATTTCACATTTGTTCCCCATTTGAATAGCAAAGAGGATATGAAGTGTGAGGTCACAATCTTCCATATGCACAATTTCCCATATACTTCACTCGCACAGCAAAAGGGACATTTGTCAAGGCACAATTTCCCATATTTGAAGGTACTTTGCACATCATTTCCCAAAGAACAATTAATATATCGATAAGCTGTGTGTAGAAGAAAGATGCTTGAAGCTGCTTATGCACACGACTACACACACACACAGACACACACACACACACACATACTCTGCTACTTATGTATTTAGCTTGTATATATTTATGTACCTATTAACATGCTTAGCAAAGCTTTCGGCTGCAGTCGCTCCGCAACTCGAGAATAAGCTTTTTATTGCCTAGTCAGCAGCAACAACAACAGCAAAGGCGAAAAGCTACGCAAATAGTTGGAAGAAAAAAAAATGCGTTTGACTTGCGCTCTTTGGGGCTTTGACTCAACAAAGGCGTCGCGACAAGGTGCAAAGAGTTGATCGGTTCAGCCGTTGCGTGGGCGCGCAGGGGGGGGGGGACGGGGCGATAGGGTAGCCATAGCTGATAGAGCGCCGGCGTCTTTGGCTTTGTCTACATTGTTGTTGCTTATTTACTGCGTAAATATGTTTCTCTAGCGCGCCTGCTCTTACTTAAGCGCTTGCCCATGTTGTTCTTGTTGTTGCTGTTAGCTTTTGCATTGTAGTAGTAGTTGTTGTCATACATACGCACACAGCATGTTTGTATGTAGTTAGGTATGTATTTATTTATGTCTGTGTGTATTCGTGAGCGTTTGTGTGTGTGTGTGTTTGCATCGTGACCTTCTCACACTGTCATGGCTACGTATAAAAATTGTATAAAAATAAAAGCTTTCGTTTTATAATTTGTATGCAGCTCCATGCGTGTGAGTGTGTGCGTGCGTATAGAACATAGACGACTCGTGCCTTTGCGACAACAACAACAACAACAACAACAACAACAAGAACGATTGTTTTTCATTGAACAAAATATTATTTATGTTCCGCTCAAGATCGCATTTTTAGCTAGAGCTTCAAATTATAGTTGTTGCCTTTCGTCTGCTTCTGCTTCTGCTTCTTCTTCTTCATCTTGCTGTTGTTGTTGCTGAGCTTTGCAACACTTGTCACAGCCACTTCCGACAGTGTTGTATAAGAGATTATTTCGGTTATGGCGGCTTGTTAGAATTGAACGCCAGCTCGCGTCGAGCAGGTGTTGAAAGATTTTGCAGATGTTTCAAGGTCATTCGCCAGATGTTGTTTATGTTAGCTTCAAGTTGTATTATTATTATAAATTTGTATTTTTTTTATGGCAAATAGTTAAGATTTTGCGGTTAGGGTGTTTGCCAGTCGGGCAAATTTTTGTTAATTTACATAGAGCGTGTCGAGCGTCCTTTAACTAATTAAGCTAACTTTTGTTCGTTGCCAACTATTTAACACTTGAGTCACACAAATTAAATTTATCAAAAAAAATATAAACAATTTAGCAAGTGGGCAATTCGTAACCTTCCTCCAAATGATTTTTCTCCAGTTTTTAACCGCACAAAAGGCGAAAATAGAAAAAAAAAATAAAAATAGTTGCATGGCAAGTCGATTTTTTTCTATTTCACTTTATGTTTTATTTGTTTTTTTGTTTGTTTGTTGTAACCTTCTGTTCTGATCGATTCAAGTTTAAGGTCGAATACAGACCCCCCACTTCCCCCCTTCCCTCACCCCTGTCTAGACAACAGACCCAGACTAGACGACCCTTGAGTCGCTAATGCCCACTAATGTGGTTGTGCAGGGTGTTTCGCTGTTGTTGTTGTTGTTGTTGTTGTTGTTGTTACAGGTTGCCCGCCCAAGGGCGTAGCTAATGTTGTTGTTGCACGCACCTTTGTGGCCTATCACAAACAAACACTTACACACACTCACACACACACACACTCGCACACAGACGCGCGCGCTTGAGACTCAGGTAATTTAAAAGCCGAGCCTATTTTGCTTTAAATCTCGAACAAATGGATCGTCTAACAGTCGTGTCTCGATATGCTATGCGATTTAACGGTAGATTTGTAATCGAATTGGTAATGAGTAAATTTTTATTACACGTAACCAATTGATTGGACGGTGCTAGAGGCACAGATCATTGGAATTTGCCTACATCACACACACACACACACACACACACACACACACACACACACACACACGCAAATACACATACGCACATGTCGAAGGTTAAAAGTTAATTAGAGCACAGGCACAAAGAAAACAAAGAAAAGTCTAATGCAAATATCTATAAAAATATTTCAAGTGTTGGAAAATGCACAAAATATTCAAAGTTTACTTCAAGGACATTTCAGGCAGTGAATTAATTAACAAACCTTATATTAAACGTTAAACTGAGACAATTTTTGAATATGTTGAAATGGTTTTAAGTATTATAATTAACCTTCGCTATCTTGATTAATCTGCCAGCTTGTGTGCAGAGACTGAGACTAAGAATTGTTTTAAAATATGATGACAAAACTATGAAAAACTAACAAAGAACTGAGCGCGAATTGCATTTGAAATAAATTTCATGAAATAAACATAAATTCATATGCTAAATGGAAAATTTATGCACTGCCATAAACAGTGCGATTCGAGCGGCATAAGAATTAAGACAACAGGCAAGGCACACACACACACACACACATGTACATAATGTGAATATAATAGAGAACATAGAAAAATCTTAAGTGTCGCACAAATAGCTGACGCGCCTTTAGTTGCTGTTGTTGTTGTTGTTGTTGTTGTTGTTGTTAAACTGTAAATTCAAAATGAAATACATAATGCTATAAAAACGGAATAGTCAAGCGCTACTAACCTTAGACAAAAACAAAAAGCAAAAGGCATGTATCTAACTACAAAATGTATGTTTCTATGTCTGTTAGCCGCTGCACACATACTTGTGTGTGTGTGTGTGTGTATAAAATACGCAACCTTCAAAAAATCTAACAAAGCAAACTTGTTCAATAGTCATATGCGTATCAGGAAGTCAACATTTCAAGGATTGACTCATTGAAAAGTCGAATGCGACGGCGGCGGCGACGACGGCAGCAGCAGCAGCAGCAGCAACAACAACAACAATAACAGAAACAAGTTAGTCGCTAGTCGCACACACACATGCGCGCACCCATACACACAGAAACAAAGACACTTGCATTAGACGAAAACTTTGAAAAGCGCGCCGGCAAAATGCAGTGCAAAAAATATTTACAGTAAAGCACACACACATACACAGACGCAGCGCTCTGAGATCACTTGCAATTGCTGCACTGGCTGCCGCTCTCTCGCTCTCTCTCACACACACACACGCACACAGCAGCAGCAGCGGCAAGAGTGTGTTGAGCTTTTATGAGCATGCAGTTGCATGCATTCGCTTAAAGTGCGCTCTTTCGAGCGCAGCTCTCTTACGTTAAGCGCTGACTTCATTCAACGGTGCTGCCGCTGCCGCTGCTGCTGCTGCTGCTGCTGTGTTGCTGTGCTGCATTGTTAAATAAAAAGTGCAAATACCGTAAGATTTGGTTTTGCTGTTGCTTTTGTTTGTCGTCGCTGCCGATGCACCGTTGCAACAATTTTACTTTTCATTGTGAAATGATTTAAAAACCAAAAGCTATATTATGCATGAGGTAATTCGCAAAATGGGGAATTGCCACGCGCGCGCCTTTTTCAAAAAGAACGTACACATTAATTATGTATTATGTGTGTATGTAAATGGAGCATGAATGTTATATGATAAAGAGCTTCAGCTTGACCATGCTTGAAAAGTTCAATATGTGAACCTTCAACCTGTGTGTTCGCTAGTTGAGGGCCCAAGCAAA